CAGCGCCGAGTCGAGTCGGCTGAGCCACCTAGTTCAGATGCGGCCGAGGCGTAGGTCTCTGGCCGAGTTTAGCCGAGGTGAGGCCGAGATCGGTCCGAGGTGTGGCAGAGGGTCAGGCCGACATGTGGCCGAAATGTCTAGGCCCGGCCACCGCTCGACGCCAAACGAGCTCGAGGACGGCGGCGCCGCGAGCAGCAGCAGGTGTGGAGACATCTCGGGCGGCGCGACAGCGTGGTCAGTCCAAAAGGCCTCTGGGAGATCGGGCAGGCCGTCCGGCGGCGAGTGCCACGGGAGCAGGCTCGCGCCGCCGCTGAGTCCGGAGATGGCAAGCGCGACTGTCCGCTCCGCCTCGGGCGACGGAGAAAAGGAGTACGGCACTCCGGGCATCGACGCGGAGCCGAGCGACCGGCTGTGCTCTCCGCCGCCGCCGATGAGGCCTTGCGTCGTGACTGCTCCGACGACGCTCTCTGCAGAGTCGGCGAGAGCGACTGCGAGCTCCGCCGGCTGCGAGGACTCGGTGAACCAGACGACAGCATCCGCCTTGAGCGCACGCACCTTACTGGCAAGCTCCGCTGCCGCGCCGGGGCCGCAGGCCGTTAGTGAAGAGAGCCGCATATGTCCCACTGGACGAACGTAAGATCCCGAGCAGACTAGTTTATCTCGGCTTCTCCACATGAACCAAGCATCAGCACCGTGAGGTGTGATACATTGGCGCGTAAAGGGTCAGTCTGGAGTCGCGTGCCTCCACAACGGAAGAGCTACGCAGTACCTGACATCCCCCGGGGTCTTGCCACTAAAGGCGGAGGGTTGGGACTCAAACAGCTTGGACGAACTGCAGGTCCGGAGGTAACCTCAACGTCCTGCAGCCGGCCGCGGCGCCGTAAGGGTTCGCACCTCAGACCAAGTAGAGAGAGAGGTGGAGCTCACCACACGTGGAGCACCTACCGCCGCGTAAACGACGCGGGAGTCTCCCCCGCATAAAGAGGGGGGAGAGGTAAGATGGGCCGACGACAGGACCCATTACGCGAGCAGAGGCTCGAGCTGACTTCGCCGTGAGAGCCACGGTGGATCCCATGATAGCGTGAGAGCTTAGCATGCCACCAAGGAGAGGGTGGGTGGGAACCAAAGAGAGATGGCGCAGCCGGAGGGCTGGCGCCGTCAGAGAGGATGGAGCGGCCACAGAGGTGGCGCGGCATCAGGTCCCATGAGCAGGGAGAGAGCGCAGCGAGAGCGCCGCGCATGAGGAGCAAGGGCCAAGCGCGCTCGCGAAAGTAGGCGGCGAAAGCGCGCGCCAGCTGAAGTGCAAGTTTGGTGTTCACAGCAGCGGAGGCTGAGTGAAGACCGCATGCGATGTGCGCGAGGGCACACGAGAGGGACTCAGGAGAGGTATCCGTGAGTACCCTACGATAAACTAGTGGCCTACCACGAGTTGGGGCCCCCACCCCAATCGTTATCGGCGGACTAGTTTATCTCGGCTTCTCCACATGAACCAAGCATCAGCACCGTGAGGTGTGATACATTGGCGCGTAAAGGGTCAGTCTGGAGTCGCGTGCCTCCACAACGGAAGAGCTACGCAGTACCTGACATCCCAACGCAGAGTGGAGGGAGCGGGTGCAGACGGACCTCGCATCCCAATGAAGCCAGAAGAGGGGCAGATGCGCTCGTGACGAGGAGCGACCCCAGCGTGAAGCCTACATTCACGCCACGCCGCCCACGAGGCGGCACACGAGACGAGGCTCGAGTAGACGAAGAGCGAGACGAGGCTCACTCGAGGCGGCGGCAGAGACAGCCGCCCGCCACGCCACGCCGCCCACGAGGCGGCACACGAGACGAGGCTCGAGTAGACGAAGAGCGAGACGAGGCTCACTCGAGGCGGCGGCAGAGACAGCCGCCCGCCACGCCACGCCGCCCACGAGGCGGCCCACGAGACGAGGCTCGAGTAGACGAAGAGCGAGACGAGGCTCACTCGAGGCGGCGACAGAGACAGCCGCCCGCCACGCCACGCCGCCCACGAGGCGGCACACGAGACGAGGCTCGAGTAGACGAAGAGCGAGACGAGGCTCACTCGAGGCGGAGGCAGAGACAGCCGCCCGCCACGCCACGCCGCCCAAGAGGCGGCACACGAGACCAGCTCGAGTAGACGAAGAGCGAGACGAGGCTCACTCGAGGCGGCGGCAGAGACAGCCGCCCGCCACGCCACGCCGCCCAAGAGGCGGCACACGAGACGAGGCTCGAGTAGACGAAGAGCGAGACGAGGCTCACTCGAGGCGGTGGCAGAGACAGCCGCCCGCCACGCCACGCCGCCCACGAGGCGGCACACGAGACGAGGCTCGAGTAGACGAAGAGCGAGACGAGGCTCACTCGAGGCGGCGGCAGAGACAGCCGCCCGCCACGCCGCCCCACGAGGCGGCACACGATGCGAGGCTCGAGTAGACGAAGAGCGAGACGAGGCTCACTCGAGGCGGCGGCAGAGACAGCCGCCCGCCACGCCGCCCACGAGGCGGCACACGAGACGAGGCTCGAGTAGACGAAGAGCGAGACGAGGCTCACTCGAGGCGGCGGCAGAGACAGCCGCCCGCCACGCCACACCGCCCACGAGGCGGCACACGAGACGAGGCTCGAGTAGACGAAGAGCGAGACGAGGCTCACTCGAGGCGGCGGCAGAGACAGCCGCCCGCCACGCCACACCGCCCCACGAGGCGCACACGAGACGAGGCTCGAGTAGACAAAGAGCGAGACGAGGCTCACTCGAGGCGGCGGCAGAGACAGCCGCCCGCCACGCCACGCCGCCCACGAGGCGGCACACGAGACGAGGCTCGAGTAGACGAAGAGCGAGACGAGGCTCACTCGAGGCGGCGGCAGAGACAGCCGCCCGCCACGCCGCCCCACGAGGCGGCACACGATGCGAGGCTCGAGTAGACGAAGAGCGAGACGAGGCTCACTCGAGGCGGCGGCAGAGACAGCCGCCCGCCACGCCGCCCACGAGGCGGCACACGAGACGAGGCTCAAGTAGACGAAGAGCGAGACGAGGCTCACTCGAGGCGGCGGCAGAGACAGCCGCCCGCCACGCCGCCCCACGAGGCGGCACACGATGCGAGGCTCGAGTAGACGAAGAGCGAGACGAGGCTCACTCGAGGCGGCGGCAGAGACAGCCGCCCACCACGCCACGCTCCCCACAAGCGGCATACGAGGCGAGGCTCGAGTAGACGAAGAGCGAGACGAGGCTCACTCGAGGCGGCGGCAGAGACAGCCGCCCGCCACGCCACGCCGCCCACGAGGCACACACGAGACGAGGCTCGAGTAGACGAAGAGCGAGACGTGGCTCACACGAGGCGGCGGCAGAGACAGCCGCCCGCCACGCCACGCTCCCCACAAGCGGCATACGAGGCGAGGCTCGAGTAGACGAAGAGCGAGACGAGGCTCACTCGAGGCGGCGGCAGAGACAGCCGCCCGCCACGCCGCCCACGAGGCGGCACACGAGACGAGGCTCGAGTAGACGAAGAGCGAGACGAAGCTCACACGAGGTGGCGGCAGAGACGGCCGCCCGCCACGCCACGCTCCCCACAAGCGGCAAACGAGGCGAGGCTCGAGTAGACGAAGAGCGAGACGAGGCTCACTCGAGGCGGCAGCAGAGACGGCCGCCCACCACGCCGCGCCGCCCACGAGGCGGCACACGAGGCGAGGCTCGAGTAGACGAAGAGCGAGACGCGACTCACACGAGGCGGAGGCAGAGACAGCCGCCCGCCACGCCACACCGCCCCACGAGGCGCACACGAGACGAGGCTCGAGTAGACGAAGAGCGAGACGTGGCTCACACGAGGCGGCGGCAGAGACAGCCGCCCGCCACGCCACGCTCCCCACAAGCGGCATACGAGGCGAGGCTCGAGTAGACGAAGAGCGAGACGAGGCTCACTCGAGGCGGCGGCAGAGACAGCCGCCCGCCACGCCGCCCAAGAGGCGGCACACGAGACGAGGCTCGAGTAGACGAATAACGAGACGAGGCTCACTCGAGGCGGCGGCAGAGACAGCCGCCCGCCACGCCACACCGCCCCACGAGGCGGCACACGAGACGAGGCTCGAGTAGACGAAGAGCGAGACGAGGCTCACTCGAGGCGGCGGCAGAGACAGCCGCCCGCCACGCCGCCCACGAGGCGGCACACGAGACGAGGCTCGAGTAGACGAAGAGCGAGACGAGGCTCACTCGAGGCGGTGGCAGAGACAGCCGCCCGCCACGCCGCCCCACGAGGCGGCACACGAGGCGAGGCTCGAGTAGACGAAGAGCGAGACGAGGCTCACTCGAGGCGGCGGCACAGACAGCCGCCCGCCACGCCACGCCGCCCACGAGGCGCACACGAGACGAGGCTCGAGTAGACGAAGAGCGAGACGCGACTCACACGAGGCGGCGGCAGAGACAGCCGCCCGCCACGCCACGCCGCCCACGAGGCGGCATACGAGGCGAGGCTCGAGTAGACGAAGAGCGAGACGAGGCTCACTCGAGGCGGCGGCAGAGACAGCCGCCCGCCACGCCACGCCGCCCACGAGGCGGCACACGAGACGAGGCTCGAGTAGACGAATAACGAGACGAGGCTCACTCGAGGCGGCGGCAGAGACAGCCGCCCGCCACGCCACGCCGCCCCACGAGGCGGCACACGAGACGAGGCTCGAGTAGACGAAGAGCGAGACGAGGCTCACTCGAGGCGGCGGCAGAGACAGCCGCCCGCCACGCCGCCCACGAGGCGGCACACGAGACGAGGCTCGAGTAGACGAAGAGCGAGACGAGGCTCACTCGAGGCGGCGGCAGAGACAGCAGCCCGCCACGCCACGCCCCCCACAAGCGGCATACGAGGCGAGGCTCGAGTAGACGAAGAGCGAGACGAGGCTCACTCGAGGCGGCGGCAGAGACAGCAGCCCGCCACGCCACGCCGCCCACGAGGCGGCACACGAGACGAGGCTCGAGTAGACGAAGAGCGAGACGAGGCTCACTCGAGGCGGAGGCAGAGACAGCAGCCCGCCACGCCACGCCGCCCACGAGGCGGCACACGAGACGAGGCTCGAGTAGACGAAGAGCGAGACGAGGCTCACACGAGGCGGCGGCAGAGACAGCCGCCCGCCACGCCACGCTCCCCACAAGCGGCATACGAGGCGAGGCTCGAGTAGACGAAGAGCGAGACGAGGCTCACTCGAGGCGGCGGCAGAGACAGCCGCCCGCCACGCCACGCCACGCTCCCCACAAGCGGCATACGAGGCGAGGCTCGAGTAGACGAAGAGCGAGACGAGGCTCACTCGAGGCGGCGGCAGAGACAGCCGCCCGCCACGCCGCCCACGAGGCGGCACACGAGACGAGGCTCGAGTAGACGAAGAGCGAGACGAGGCTCACTCAAGGCGGCAGAGACGGCCGCCCGCCACGCCACGCTCCCCACAAGCGGCATACGAGGCGAGGCTCGAGTAGACGAAGAGCGAGACGAGGCTCACACGAGGCGGCAGCAGAGACGGCCGCCCACCACGCCGCCCAAGAGGCGGCACACGAGACGAGGCTCGAGGAGACGAAGAGCGAGACGAGGGGCTCACTCGAGGCGGCGGCAGAGACAGCCGCCCGCCACGCCACGCCGCCCACGAGGCGGCACACGAGGCGAGGCTCGAGTAGACGAAGAGCGAGACGAGGCTCACTCGAGGCGGGCAGAGACAGCCGCCCGCCACGCCGCCCACGAGGCGGCACACGAGACGAGGCTCGAGTAGACGACGAGCGAGACGAGGCTCACTCGAGGCGGCGGCAGAGACAGACGCCCGCCACGCCACACCGCCCCACGAGGCGGCACACGAGACGAGGCTCGAGTAGACGAAGAGCGAGACGAGGCTCACTCGAGGCGGCAGCAGAGACAGCCGCCCGCCACGCCACGCCGCCCACGAGGCGGCACACGAGACGAGGCTCGAGTAGACAAAGAGCGAGACGAGGCTCACTCGAGGCGGCGGCAGAGACAGCCGCCCGCCACGCCACACCGCCCCACGAGGCGGCACACGAGACGAGGCTCGAGTAGACGAAGAGCGAGACGAGGCTCACTCGAGGCGGCGGCAGAGACAGCCGCCCGCCACGCCACGCCGCCCACGAGGCGGCATACGAGACGAGGCTCGAGTAGACGAAGAGCGAGACGAGGCTCACTCGAGGCGGCGGCAGAGACAGCCGCCCGCCACGCCACGCCGCCCACGAGGCGGCACACGAGACGAGGCTCGAGTAGACGAAGAGCGAGACGAGGCTCACTCAAGGCGGCAGCAGAGACAGCCGCCCGCCACGCCACGCCGCCCACGAGGCGGCACACGAGACGAGGCTCGAGTAGACGAAGAGCGAGACGAGACGCACTCGAGGCGGCGGCAGAGACAGCCGCCCGCCCGCCACGCCGCCCACGAGGCAGCACACGAGACGAGGCTCGAGTAGACGAAGAGCGAGACGAGGCGCACTCGAGGCAGCGGCAGAGACAGCCGCCCGCCCGCCATGCCGCCCACGAGGCGGCACACGAGACGAGGCTCGAGTAGACTCAGAGCGAGACGAGGCTCACTCGAGGCGGCGGCGGAGACAGCCGCCCGCCCGCCACGCCGCCCACGAGGCGGCACACGAGACGAGGCTCGAGTAGACGAAGAGCGAGACGAGACGCACTCGAGGCGGCGGCAGAGACAGCCGCCCGCCTGCTACGGCGCCCACGAGGCGGCACACGAGACAAGGCTCGAGTAGACAAAGAGCGAGACGAGGCGCACTCGAGGCGGAGGCAGAGACAGCCGCCCGCCCGCTACGCCGCCCACGAGGTGGCACACGAGACGAGGCTCTAGTAGACGAAGAGCGAGACAAGGCGCACTCGAGGCGGAGGCAGAGACAGCCGCCCGCCCGCCACGCCGCCCACGAGGCGGCACACGAGACGAGGCTCGAGTAGACGAAGAGCGAGACGAGGCTCACTCGAGGCGGCGGCAGAGACAGCCGCCCGCCCGCCACGCCGCCCACGAGGTGGCACACGAGGCGAGGCTCGAGTAGACAAAGAGCGAGACGAGAAGCACTCGAGGCGGCGGCAGAGACAGCCGCCCGCCACGCCACCCCGCCCACGAGGCGGCACACGAGACGAGGCTCGAGTAGACGAAGAGCGACACGAGGCTCACTCGAGGCGGCGGCAGAGACAGCCGCCCGCCCGCCACGCCGCCCACGAGGCGGCACACGAGACGAGGCTCGAGTAGACGAAGAGCGAGACGAGGCTCACTCGAGGCGGCGGCAGAGACAGCCGCCCGCCCGCCACGCCGCCCACGAGGCGGCACACGAGACGAGGCTCGAGTAGACAAAGAGCGAGACGAGGCGCACTCGAGGCGGAGGCAGAGACAGCCGCCCGGCCGCGAAGCCGCCCACGAGGTGGCACACGAGACGAGGCTCGAGTAGACGAAGAGCGAGACGAGGCTCACTCGAGGCGGCGGCGGAGACAGCCGCCCGGCCGCCACGCCGCCCACGAGGCGGGACACGAGACGAGGCTCGAGTAGACGAAGAGCGAGACGAGGCTCACTCGAGGCGGCGGCAGAGACAGCCGCCCACCACGCCACGCCGCCCCACGAGGCGGCACACGAGGCGAGGCTCGAGTAGACGAATAGCGAGACGAGGCTCACTCGAGGCGGCAGAGACAGCCGCCCGCCACGCCACCCGCCGCCACGAGGCGGCACACGAGGCGAGGCTCGAGGAGACGAAGAGCGAGACGAGGCTCACACGAGGCGGCGGCAGAGACAGCCGCCCGCCACGCCACGCCGCCCACGAGGCGGCACACGAGACGAGGCTCGAGTAGACGAAGAGCGAGACGAGGCTCACTCGAGGCGGCAGAGACAGCCGCCCGCCACGCCACGCCGCCCACGAGGCGGCACACGAGACGAGGCTCGAGTAGACGAAGAGCGAGACGAGGCTCACTCGAGGCGGCAGCAGAGACAGCCGCCCGCCACGCCACGCCGCCCAGGAGGCGGCACACGAGGCGAGGCTCGAGTAGACGAAGAGCGAGACGAGGCTCACACGAGGCGGCGGCAGAGACGGCCGCCCGCCACGCCACGCCGCCCCACGAGGCGGCACACGAGGCGAGGCTCGAGTAGACGAAGAGCGAGACGAGGCTCACTCGAGGCGGCGGCAGAGACAGCCGCCCGCCACGCCACGCCGCCCCACGAGGCGGCACACGAGACGAGGCTCGAGTAGACGAAGAGCGAGACGAGGCTCACTCGAGGCGGCAGCAGAGACAGCCGCCCGCCACGCCACGCCGCCCAAGAGGCGGCACACGAGGCGAGGCTCGAGTAGACGAAGAGCGAGACGAGGCTCACTCGAGGCGGCGGCAGAGACAGCCGCCCGCCACGCCACGCCGCCCACGAGGCGGCACACGAGACGAGGCTCGAGTAGACGAAGAGCGCGACGAGGCTCACACGAGGCGGCGGCAGAGACAGCCGCCCGCCACGCCACGCCGCCCCACGAGGCGGCACACGAGACGAGGCTCGAGTAGACGAAGAGCGAGACGAGGCTCACTCGAGGCGGCGGCAGAGACAGCCGCCCGCCACGCCACGACGCCCACGAGGCGGCACACGAGACGAGGCTCGAGTAGACGAATAGCGAGACGAGGCTCACACCAGGCGGCGGCAGAGACAGCCGCCCGCCCGCCACGCCGCCCACGAGGCGGCAGACGAGGCGAGGCTCGAGTAGACGAAGAGCGAGACGAGGCTCACTCGAGGCGGAGGCAGAGACAGCAGCCCGCCACGCCGCCCAAGAGGCGGCACACGAGACGAGGCTCGAGTAGACGAAGAGCGAGACGAGGCTCACTCGAGGCGGCAGCAGAGACAGCCGCCCGCCACGCCGCCCACGAGGGCGAACGAGGCGAGGCTTGAGCAGACAAAGAGAGCGAGACGAGGCTCACTCGAAGAGCAGCACGCGCCGCTGCACGGGCGGAGCAAGTGCCGGAGTGCTGCCTTGGATAGAGATCTCCCAGAGCAACATGACAGCAGAGCTTATCGCCGGCGGGTCCAGAGAGAAAGGAGAAGCACGCCACGAGACGTGATGCAACAGCAGCACCAAGAGTGGGCTGTGGGGCCACCGCCCCTGGCCGCCAGGTGTACGAGGCCGTCGTGGCAGAGCTGAGGCGACCACGAGAGCGCCACAAGCGCGGCAGACGAGGCCGCCGCCCATCGTGTACTGCTGCCCAGAAACAGTCGCCAGCGACAGCAAGAATGGCGCAGACACAGATTCTGTGCCAACCAAAGAGAGATGGCGCAGCCGGAGGGCTGGCGCCGTCAGAGAGGATGGAGCGGCCACAGAGGTGGCGCGGCATCAGGTCCCATGAGCAGGGAGAGAGCGCAGCGAGAGCGCCGCGCATGAGGAGCAAGAGCCAAGCGCGCTCGCGAAAGTAGGCGGCGAAAGCGCGCACCAGCTGAAGTGCAAGTTTGGTGTTCACAGCAGCGGAGGCTGAGTGAAGACCGCATGCGATGTGCGCGAGGGCACACGAGAGGGACTCAGGAGAGGTATCCGTGAGTACCCTACGATAAACTAGTGGCCTACCACGAGTTGGGGCCCCCACCCCAATCGTTATCGGCGGAAACCGTTGGAAACAGATTTGTGAAACAAAGAATTCTTCCTCGCTGCTTGCCGCCAGCGCCTCTGCCACGGCCTTCGCCCTTTCCGCGCGGATGCATGGCCCCACGCCGCCGAACAGGCCGCGCGGCACGACGGATGGCGGCAAGACGTGTGCTGTCTGCGAGAAGCCATCGACCACGCGATGCTCAAAGTGCAAGGAGGTGATGTACTGCTCGGTTGAATGCCAGAGGCTCGGTGCGCGTGCGCCCCGCCACTGCGGCCGCACCTCCACCCCGCATGACTGCCTTGCCGACCCGGCCTTCGCTCGCGCGCAGATTGGAAGGCGGGCCACAAGCAGGTGTGCTGCAGCGGCACCAGCGCCAGCGCGCTGGCCGCAAAGTCGGCGGCCGCGGCGGCGCTTCCACCTCCGTGGGAGCCGTTCAAGCCCGACCCCGAGGTGGAGGCGCTGATTGACGAGGGCGCGGCCGCGCCCGTGACGGGGATGGCCAACGTGGGCAACACGTGCTTCCTCAACGTCGTCGTGCAGTGCCTCTTCCACGGCCCGCTCTGGCACTACATGCAGCGCGGCCTGCCGCGGCACAAGCCGCCGGCGGAGCACGAGCAGGGTTGCGGCGAGCCGGACTGCGTGATCTGCGAGCTCAACGAGCTGGTCAGGATGTACGCCAACCCGGGCGCGCGCAAGTGGATCGCGCCGCGCTCGGTCGTGCGGAAGACTTTGTCCGCGTGCGCCGGCATCGGGGTGGACTTTGGTCGGATGCACGACTCGCACGAGTTCGCCATCGCGGGCATCATCAACCGGCTGCTCAACGCCAACCTGCGCGGTGCGCCCGAGGCGAGCGGCAGCGACGAGTACGACTGCCTCGAGTGCCAGACGCTGCAGCACCACCTCTTCGGGGCTCTGCGCGCGCCGCTCCGCGAGAAGATGAGCCGAGGCCGGAGGGACGGGGCGGGCTGAGGCGGTGTGTGTGTGTGTCAGGTACGCGAGCGTGGTCACATGCGAGAGCTGCGGCCACCAGACCGGGCGCATGCAGCGAGACGCGAACGGGTTCACCCTTGCCCTCACCGGTGCTCGCGCCGCCGCGTGGCGGGAGGCGGAGGGCGAGGCTGGCGGCGTGAGGGCGGCTGTCCGCACATAGGCCGCACGCCAGAGACGCCGGAGACGGGGCTGCGCGCGTGGGTGCGCGGCGCGGCGCAGCGGGTCGGGGAGAGGGTGGGTGTGGTGCGCCGCTCCTCGCGCGGCCGTTGCCGTCGCGCCTCCCGCCGCTTGCTCACTTGGCTGCGGTGCGAGCGGCGCTGTAGGTCGAGGGGACGAGCGAGAGCGTCGAGGAGCTTCTCAAGTTCGACTTCGAAGGCGAGGCACTTCCTAGACACTGCCTAGACACTTCCTAGACTTCCTAGAGCTTCTCAAGTTCGACTTCGAAGGCGAGGCACTTCCTAGACACTGCCTAGACACTTCCTAGACTTCCTAGACTTCCTAGAGCTTCTCAAGTTCGACTTCGAAGGCGAGGCACTTCCTAGACACTGCCTAGACACTTCCTAGACTTCCTAGAGCTTCTCAAGTTCGACTTCGAAGGCGAGGCACTTCCTAGACACTGCCTAGACACTTCCTAGACTTCCTAGAGCTTCTCAAGTTCGACTTCGAAGGCGAGGCACTTCCTAGACACTGCCTAGACACTTCCTAGACTTCCTAGAGCTTCTCAAGTTCGACTTCGAAGGCGAGGCCTGGCCGAGACACAGACGAGGCCCGGCCGAGACGCGGCTGAGAAGCAGCCGAGCTGCTCACGCCTCGCCCTCCCTCCAAAGGTGAGTCGCTCGAAGACTACAAGTGCGACGGGTGCGGCAAAAAGGCGCGAGCCGATGCCCCTCCCCGCATCCGCACGGCCTGCTCGCCGCGCCTACCCCCTCCTCTCCTCTCCGCCTCCGCCTCCCTCCCGACCAACCGCTGCGCCCCCCGCTCCGCCGCCGCAGATGGACGAGATGGACGGCAAGCGGATCGTCAAGAGGAGCTCCCTCGTGGACGCGCCTCGCGTGCTTACCCTCGTCATCAAGCGCTTCAGCGGCGGCCACTTCGGGAAGGCGGGACCCCGCGCCCTCTCTGCCCTCTCTGCCCTCTCGCCCTTTTTGTCCTCCTCCCCTGCCCGCCTTCGAGCTCCGGAGCGGGCTCCGCCGCATCGCCCCGCCCCTCCCGCCCCTCCGACTCTTCACGGCCCGCCCCTCCGACTCTCGCGCCTCTTCACGGCGGCCGCAGGTCAGCAAGCCTGTCACCTTCGACGAGGAGCTCGACCTCGGCCTCGCCCTCCTCTCGCGCCCCGCCTCCGCCTCGCCGCCCCCGCCCTCACCCCTCCCCCGCCCCCCACCATAGGCCCCTTTGTCGAGCCTTCCCTC